TACACCGGGCGCCCGTCATCAAGGTGAGACACACACACACACGTTTTTACGGACTCTGAAAAAAAGTTTAAATGAAAACCAAAGAGGATCCAAATATGATCCCTGTGGAACGCCTCGAACAAATAACTTTTAGATTAAATTCAACTTCAGTGACATTGCAAAAGGCAGTTAATTTTAAGTGATAAATACACACAACAACATGTATTTATGTGAATAATAAATATGAATAAATATGTATAAGAAGTTTAAAAGAAATAGCCTAAAGTATATGAACAAAAATCCCCAAAATATGTGAAAATGTTCCGGAAAAATATTTAGATTTTCTTTAAATGGTCCGAAAATATGTAAAAAAAACTCGGATAGTTATGTGAAAAGTTTTTGAATGAATGTGAGAATTTTCCAAAGAAACATGTAAAAAATTAAAATTAAAATAATGGTCAGAACAAAAGGAAATAATGAAGTATAATTATGCAAAAGATGTCAATGTCCAAACATTTTGAAAATCTTTCTATAAGGTAAAAAAAAATCTCATAGAATACGATACACTGCTGCATATTAAACTACCCAACAGTAAATCTTCAACATTGCAGTGTCTCTTAAATCCATGGTAACCCATAGAAACCTCTAATGATTTACTTCAGATCTTCACATCAATGCACTCTTTCACACCTCAACCTCTTCATATCTCACCCCTCCATATCTCACCCCTCTCTTTCTCCCCCTCTCTGCAGGAGAGAGTGTGTGACAGTCCCTCTCTCTCTCCGTCTGTCGATGAGACGAACACTCCTCTGCAGTCGCAGCCCAGCAGCTCGGCCTCCAGCTCGCCCGAAAGACTGGGTACACACACACACACACACACACACACACACACACACACACACACACACACACACACACACACACACACACACACACACACACACACACACACACACACACCAGTATGACACATATACTGGGTAAAGCTGCAAGGATAAGTGGGTTGAAAATTCTTCCAGCAACTGTTTGGATAAGGGCACGTTTTAATGCACAAGTGGTAAATATTTACTAGTTTTAGCATCTTAAATGATTCTATTTTCTCTTGAATTTACTCTTTTATATATTATGTTAAACTATTATGTTGGTGGTCAGACAAAACATTTAAGAACCTTTTATTTCTTTACTTTTTTATCATATTTTCTGAGATTTTTTGCATGAAAAATTATCAATGGAGAAAATATAAAACTGAATATTTTCTACTTATGTGTACACACCTTGCATGTCATCTACAATTTAAACAAACAAGTCACACCCACAGATACACATGCCTCTGCAGACACAACATACATGCAGACATACTGTGTGTTTAAGCACACACACACTCACACACACACACACTCACACACACACTCACTGTGCCTTTTCCTCTCAACAGGATTGGTGTCAGCTGATGCAGATGTTGCGCTGACCAACCCTGCTGCACCCATCAAGAAAATAACAAAGGACAAAGGTTGGACCACACACATAGACACAAACACACACACACAGACACACACACTGTCACACACACTCTTATATAAGTGAAGATATTCCATTACCCACCTTAATCTAAACCCTCACCCATTTGGTTTTGACAACTGACAAATTGTCCTCACTTAGAGGGCTTTCCTCATCTACTGTATTTACACACACACACACACACACACACACACACACACACACACACACACACACACACACACACACACACACACACACACACACACACACACACACACACACACACACACACACACACACACACGCACACACACACACGTCAGGATGTTCGGCCCCTCCTATTGATCACCTGTCTCTGAGCCATCAATCAGAGGATGAGGAGTGAGGAGGCAGAGATAGAGGGAGATAGATGGGGGAGGAGGGGAGGCTAAGTGAAGGAGGCATGGCTAAAAGGGGTCAAGAGGTCACACACTAAAAGCATGCAAGGCCTCTCCTCCCTCACACACACACACACTCGGAGTGTGTTTTCCATTCTTATAACACACTCTGTTTTAATTCTTCACCTCTCTGTTCATCCTGTTCAGCTCTTTCAAATCAATACAGGAATCTGCTGCTCTTAAGAGAGTGGACTTTAAAGGAATATTAAACCCTTAAATATTGTAAAGAGTAGATAGGAGTCGTCTCCTTAGGCTCTCTGTGGTCTTAGAGAAAGTTGAGCGAACTCACTTTGAAAGAGACGAAAGAAAGACGGCAAAAAACATCTGAAAAAGGTGAGAAAGATCCCCCTTACAGCATCAGCCAAGTCTACCATATCCAGTCCTGTGCTCATGGAAATCCAACACACACGTCAAGTGAAACAATGAAATCAAAAAGGGCCAAGTTAACTTATTATTCGGAGTAAAATATGGCAGGATACGGTGTCCTGATGGCGGACAGACCAGCCTGTAGAGTGTGACTTAAAGACTATTTATTAACAAAGCTATCAAATCAATTATTTGACATGTTTGACATAAGTGTTAAAACCTTTACAGCATAGAGACTTGTGTCAGAAAAAGCTGCTTATCTACGATTTTTTTCAATATTAAAGGTGGGGTAGGTAAGTTTGAGAAACCGGCTCGAGATCGCTAGAATTTGAAAATACACAACCGGAGAAAATCTGCCACTTCCTTACAGAGCCCCTCCTCCAACACACACGAACGCGCACATGACCAATGAGGGCACGAGATAAGTTTGTGCACAGATGGAAGGCTGACAGGCAGGTAGGCCATCCAGTTATTTTAGCCGGGCCGGCTCAGATGATTGGTCGTGCTTTTTACAGTACTACGGCTTCCACAGATGATATTTTCTTATGGATTTTTTGTCAAAGCACTTCAGATATTCATTGCTATCGGGATGTTAAGAGCATTCCATGGAATATAACAAAAAGTGTATCTCGAGCCGGTTTCTCAAACGTACCTACCCCACCTTTAAAGGATGTCTAAATGATGTGCGAAGAGACTTCTACAGAGGATGAATAAAAGACAGCAAAAAAACGTCTGAGAAACCTTCGAAAAGAATGTTTGCAGCCTTATGCAAGTGTCCTTTATCAATTATTGTGCCTGTGGAAATCCAACACACACTTTTCTATACTGAGCATTCCCTGATTGTCCTCCCATGAAGACATTTTCCTCAATATTACTACAAATTGGGCTATCTTTATGTTCGTACTGATATGCTTTCACTTCTTATGCTTTAAGCAACCTTCATATCATCTATTTTCTCTGGGACAGTGAAGAGCCTTAGCCTAAGAGTGTTTGTATTATATGTATTGTATACTTTGAGCATATTAGGACCCCTTTAAATAAAGAAACGGAAAGACAGAACATGTTGTAATGATTCGGGGAGAACAGGTTAATCATGAACAAGGACAGGAAGAGAAACATGATGGAAAAAGAGGAAGAAAATGAAGATGTGGAAATTGGGAAAGAACAAAGTTGTAAGGTTGAAGATGAGAGGAAGAAGTGATGAAGAAAGATATGAGAGGAGAGGTGGAGCAGAGGGATGTATGGATGAAGTGGCAGATAGGGGATAGAGTGTGTGTGTGTGTGTGTGTGTTAAAGTGCATCTTAATCAGCGTTAATTTCACAGCAGAGTTAACCCAGTTGTCAGTTTGTTAGGCATTAAGGGCTGATCAGACACTGTGACGCACTCACGATTAACACACACACACACACACACACACACACACACTCACACATACATACACGCATTGACACACGCAAATCAAGGATGTCTTTAATCCTTGCCAATTAGTACCACACATGATTGTCTGAATACTAACGACCCGTGTGTGTGTGTGTGTGTATGTGTGTGTGTGTGTGTGTGTGTGTGTGTGTGTGCGTGTGTGTGTGTGTGTGTGTGTATGTTTAGAGTAATTGATTTCTCTGATGTTGCTTCGTTGCCTTTTATACCTTAGTAAACATCAACATTTCATAAACGTCGCCCGGAGCTCGTGACGATATATCGCTGATGGAAACATCTCAAACATGTATTTATTTATTTAAACACACACACATACTATTGAGTATTAAAGAATATATGTATTACATTTATTCACTTCAAAATGTGTTGGATTGTGAACAAATTTACAAAAAAGTAAAGTATATTATATTTGTAACCACCTTTTCGTAACATTTTCTTTTTAATGCATACTATACTATGTCATAAAAATGTCATAGTATATGGTATGATGAATACAAAATGGCATACAAAAAAAAATGTAATAGTGTAGTATGTAAACAAAAAGTAATAGTATAGTACTTAAAACATCTTAATAGTATAGTATGTCAACAAAAGTAATAGTATTGTATGTACAAAAATAAATATAGTATGTACAAAAACGTCATACATACTAATAGAAATGTTTTTCTTATTATGTCACCATTAAAAAAGGTAAATATGTCATCTATTCTCCCCAAAACCTAACCCTTACTCTGTTCTCCCCCCTCAGAAGAGTCCTCTCTGGGGCCGGCGCTCCCCCCCGGGTTCCCCGCTCCCTTCCTGTTCGCTGACGGCCTCTCGTCAGTGGAGACCCTGCTCACCAACATACAGGTACTTTACACTCTTTATTTAAAGGTCACTTATTATGCAAAAATCCACTTCTTCATGTCTCTTCTGCATCAACATGTGTCCCCTCTTCTTCATGTCTCTTCTACATCAACATGTGTCCCCTCTTCTTCATGTCTCTTCTACATCAACATGTGTCCCCTCTTCTTCATGTCTCTTCTGCATCAACATGTGTCCCCTCTTCTTCATGTCTCTTCTACATCAACATGTGTCCCCTCTTCTTCATGTCTCTTCTACATCAACATGTGTCCCCTCTTCTTCATGTCTCTTCTACATCAACATGTGTCCCCTCTTCTTCATGTCTCTTCTACATCAACATGTGTCCCCTCTTCTTCATGTCTCTTCTACATCAACATGTGTCCCCTCTTCTTCATGTCTCTTCTTCATCAACATGTGTCCCCTCTTCTTCATGTCTCTTCTACATCAACACGTGTCCCCTCTTCTTCATGTCTCTTCTACATCAACATGTGTCCCCTCTTCTTCATGTCTCTTCATCATCAACATGTGTCCCCTCTTCTCCATGTCTCTTCTTCATCAACATGTGTCCCCTCTTCTCCATGTCTCTTCTTCATCAACATGTGTCCCCTCTTCTTCATGTCTCTTCTTCATCAGCATGTGTCCCCTCTGTGTAAAGAGACTCTGAAAGTTTCAGGAACAAAGATTCTCTCTCTTTTTGTCCTGATCCATTTCTATAAAAACCTGTCTGAAAATGAGCTGATCAGATTTTGGCCACTTTATGATGTCATAACGATGTGTTGTCTTGTGTAACCATTAGCCAATCACCAACCAAGGTAACCCCCCCCCCCCCTTATCACCTGAATCTCCTCCTAGAGCACCATTGAGTTCTTTGTAACCAAATCTCTCTCAGAGGGGCGTGGGGAGGGGCTCCTTATTTTCATCTAAAGTAACAGACAGAGAATCAGCACTTTGGAAACAGGGCTGAAACAGAGGGGATTATGGGATGCTGCAATGATCTGTTTGGTGTTTCAGCCAATCGGAGACATGTTCTGGATATATCTGAGACCTATAATATATTGATGAAAAACAGTATAATAGGGGACCTTTAAAGATTACAAGACATTATCGATAATGTCTAGTAAAGAAAGTGAGACAACCCGGTCCAGAATCACGTTTTATTGCCATTTTCACAAACAAGCATGTCTCTGGATCACGGTGCATGACTTTCACAATTCTTCTACTTAAGAATCATGATTGAAAATAGAAATGTAAAATACTAAATGTGTGAAATTTGTCTATTTAACCAACAAAAGTGCAGTAAAGAAGAATGTTTGAAAATTGTGAAAAGCAACAATAAAAATAACATTGAAATCCAAATAAGAACTAGGAAAGGTAAGTTTAATATAAACAAGGCAATTAAAAGAAGACATTAAGACTTTAAATAAAGGGCAAAAGAAAACTTAAAATTAAGATTAAATACATGGACAAACAGTCCTTTAAAAGACGAGATAAAACAAATGAATACAAGCTCAAATAAAATAAAAGGCAGCGGCAAAAAGTGAAATATATAAGATTTTACAAGTACATTTTTGTATATTCTTAATATTAATATCAAGGTTTGTTGATACCTACCATTTTAAACTGTAGTAGTATTATTGAAAATATATAATAGTCCAATAGCACCACAAAACTGTAGGTAATGTAGAGCGTATTATTTACTGTTACTGAACTGCAGTTGTCACACATATCCAGACAAAGTGGTGAAACAGAATAAAGTCAAATCGAAGACCTTTTTTTAATCAAAATGTTTCATTCCTGCTGCTTATAATTTGACATTTAGGTCAACTAAAGTCCTTATAGTGTTGTTCTTCATCCTCTTCCTCTTCCTCACGTGTTCCTCAGGGTCTTCTGAAGGTGGCCGTGGAGAACGCCCGGGTTCAGGACAAACAGATCCAGGCGGAGAAACGAGAGCTGAAGATGGAGCTCTACAGAGAGAGAGAGATGAGAGAGAGTCTGGAGAGACAGCTGACCTCCGAACTACAGAGCAGAGGTGAGCAGAGACAGAGAGACACAGAGAGACAGAGAGACAGAGAGAAAGGGGACATTTCACAGAGATATAGGAGACATTTCACAGAGATATAGGAGACATTTCATAGAGATATAGGAGACATTTCATAGAGACACAGGACACATTTCACAGAGATATAGGAGACATTTCACAGAGACACAGGGGACATTTCACAGAGATATAGGAGACATTTCATAGAGACACAGTTACTGTAAAACATCCGGAACATAAAGCAGCGAGAGACCACGTAAATAAACGAGTCATAGTATAGTATGTCAAAGATATTGGGAAAAAAGTCATAGCATGTCGAAAATATCAGAAAAACGTCATAGTATAGTGTGTCAAAAATATAAAATAAAAGTCATGGTATAGTATGTCGAACATTTGGGAAAAAAGTCATAGTATAGTATGTCGAAAATACATTAAAAAAAGTCATGGTATAGTATGTTGAAAATATGGAAGAAAAGTTATAGTATGTCGAAAATATCTGAAAAAATCCATAGTATAGTATGTCGAAAATTTTGGGGAAAAGTCATAGTATAGCGTCGAAAATATCTAAAAAAGTCATAGTCGGAAATATTGAAAAAAAACATAGTATGTCGAAAATATTGATAAAAAGGATAGTATGTCGAAAAAATCTTAGAAAAGTCATAGTATAGTATGTCGAAAATATCGTAATAAAGTCAAAGTATGTCGAAAAAATCTTAAAAAAGTCATAGTATGTCGAAGAAATCTTAAAAAAGTCATCGTATGTCGAAGAAATCTTAAAAAAAGTCATCGTATGTCGAAGAAATCTTAAAAAAGTCATCGTATGTCGAAGAAATCTTAAAAAAGTCTTCGTATGTCGAAGAAATCTTAAAAAAGTCATCGTATGTCGAAGAAATCTTAAA